CTGTGTCCTCCTGACTGTCACTCCTGGGGCAGCCCTGCCTGCTTATTCTCAGTGGGCACCTCATCACCCTTTGGAGTGCCCACAGCAAGTGTCCCAGCCTCTCCTCCCTGAGGCGGACTCTTCAGCCCTGCTCGGTGCTGAGTCCTGTTGGCTGAATGAGGCAGAGCAGGGGTGGACTCCAGAAGGCTGATCTCAGTGCTGGGGCCAGGCAAAAACCAGAAGGAACATGGGTGGGGATGTGGGGTGAAGCTGGCCTGACCTCACTTCCTGACCAAACCCCAGTGGGTCTGGAGAGGTGGCCTGTAGATTGGCATGAGCAGAAGGCTGGGCTGCCGGCCAGGCGACTGATGTTCAGCCCCAGGCTTGTCATGAATGGATCAGGTGACTCTCAGAAAGCCCTTAGTCTACCTTGCTTTGTAGATGGAGTCAGCCCAGGCCTCTAGATCCCAAACTCACTGCTCCTCAGTCACCCGGAATGCATCTCTTTTGACATGGGGGAAGTTTATGTGCACATTTGCAGGGACACACAGGGACAGGTTTCTGAGGACCAGCCAGGTCTGTGAGTCTGGAAATGCTTCCAGCATTGGAGGACAATGATTTCATGTACTGTATACAGATTTTCTAAAGAACCCTGTTTTCCTTACACTTCCCTTTGGAAGAGTGACCTGCTTTTCTCTCCTCAGAGACTCTGCTTTTTGAGGGGCTGGAATATTGCTGCCCACCCCACAAGGCACATATGCCAGGGGCTGCCGAGAGGCTGGGCTAGCACCAAAACACACAACTGTGCAACTACAGCACAGAAAGGAGACAGGGGTGTCCCCGAGCCAGCACACGCACTGGGTCAGGTGGGCCAACTCCTTCCCAGGGCTCCCATGTCCAGGAACTGACATGAGCTCTAGCCTTAGGTGTGTGGTTCCTAGGTGTGGCCTCTCAGCACCCCACTGGTTCCCCCAGGCCACCTCCCTCAGCTGGTTTCAAACCTATTGTCCTAAGAACAGCTTCTAAGCAGCAAGTGCCCTGATCAATCCCTTTTGTGCCAGGGCCTATGCCAAGCACTTTGTCGTGGTGGCAAGGATTCATACTGAATCTTCAGAAGCATCCTATGAAGTTGTCTTTGTTGGCTCCAGTTTAAAGATTGGCAAACAAGTTCTCAGGGGCCAAAGCTCTTTGCCCAAGATCACAGAGCAGGAACTGGAATGTACGGAGGGTTCCCCGTCTTACCCTGTCACATGTGCCGTCCCTAGGCCTCGGGGAGGAAGTATCCCCAACCCAGGCATTGACCCGGGTGTCACTGGCTTACCTTGGCCAGCCTGGCTCGCTTGATGAGGTCATTGAGTTTGCGCACCGCGGCTTTCTGGGGGAGGCTCTGGATGTCTCTGAAGAGGTCCTGGGTCTCAGCCTCAAAGAGCCGGCGGTTATCCGTATTCTGCAGGGGCTGCGCCCAGAAGGAGCCAATATAGACTCGCAGCACCTCGGGTGTGTTGATGACCTTGCCCAGGGACCACATAAGGGCCCCATAGACCCTCATCAGCTGCTGTGTGTCCACCTGGTCGGCCTTGTTCAGCACCACACGGATCTTATCATCCTGGCCCCGGAAAGCCTTGATGGCCTCCGAGAACTCATCTGAGATGTCCAGTTTGTGGGCGTCGAAGAGCAGGATGATCCTATCGACCCGCTCAGCAAACCACTGTAGGACCTGGCAGAAGTCATACCCTGGGTGGAGAGAACACCATGTCAGTGTGGCCGACAGCTCTGGGGTGCAAGGTTATATGGGATTGTACAGGAAACCATGTGGGTATCAGCAGCTCCCAAGGAGAAAGCCCCAGTTTGAAGTTGGAGGCAATAGAGGCCCCATGACCTGAAAATCATCTAAATGGGGCTCCCTGGTTAATGCTGGGGATCTGGGGAGATCATCTGTGGAAAGGAGCAGGGAATAAAATGGGGCTCCTGGTCACCTGATCAAGCATTGCATACTGGCAATCCTCCTAGTGCTCGTGAGTCTGATTTATCTAGGGCAGTCTTTTCATCAGTGATCACTGCTCTGTGTAAGCACCAGTCATGGGGAAACCCTTACTCCCACCAGGGCCCCATCTTCTGAAAGTCCCTGAGAGGAAGAAAAGACCCTGAAAGCCACTGGGTGTCCCACAGGGTACCCAGCAGGCCCAGGAGAGGAGGAATCGGCCTCTCTTAATCTACGATTGTAGAGTGTCGAGGAAGTCAAAGGTTGGCCTGGTCAAAGCTGTGACTGATTATTTATCATTTTATGGACTATTTCTAGCTCATGTGTTATAAATATTTTAAAAATGATGTCTCATAGCCATTCTGTGAGACGGTTCTTTGCCAATTTCTTTTTTAAAATAGACAAGCTTACAACAAATTCCATTGAGCCCACTTTGGCCACCTACCAATATGCTCCAAACCAAGCAGCTAAATAAACTCTTTAGCCCAAGGTCAAGACTTTGTGGCCTTTCCCCAGGGAGGCAGATTCCCACGAGTTGCAAATGAGATGAAGCTGGTCCCCCAAAGTTTATTTTTATCTCAGGCTGATTAGCTGCAGAAGCCCACACCCAGAGGCTACCTTTCCTGGTCCCTTCCCCATTGGTGTTTCCTCTTTCTTCTCCATTCTGAAAACTTTCAAATATATCAAAATCTAGAGAATAACATAATGAATGCTGACAGACCTAACCTGGTAACGGTAACAAATTTTGACATTGTGCCTTGTTTACTTCAGATGCTTTTCAACATCAAACCTAATTTAAAATTCAGATTAACAGAGCTGGGGATTTAGCTCAATGATAGAACACTTGTGAGGCTCTGGGTTCAGTCCTCAGCACCAAAAAAAAAAAAAAAGGCAAACATTCATATACAAACTATCATATGGGGCAAGAATGAACTGGATCTTCATTTATCAACACATACAAGTCTCAAAAAACCAAACAAAAACAATTGAGAGGGTCGGGAATTTAGCTCAGTGGTTTCTCCGCCTGCTGCACAAGGGCAAGGACCCGAGTTTGATCCCCGGTACCAAATACAAAAACCAAAAAACAATTGAGTAAAAAAATGAGTTTCAAAAGGATGAGTACAGTGTGATAATGTTCCTGTGAAATGTTAATACAAAATAATACTCAGCAATCTACGGGTACAGATAAGAGCACAAATAGATCCAAAACCCTCAGTATTAGCGTAGGATGCTGGATGGCTGTGGGGTGGAGGGAGGTGGGGTGCAGGGCAGATGAGGACATGTCTAAGGAGGCCAATCTATTAGTGAAAATAAAGGCGCCCACAGACCAATGTTTTCATGCATTTGAAGAACAAGTGTAAGGGGAGCGGTTGTAAAAGCAAACTAGAGTTAGAAATGTTTTTTGTTTTGTTTTTGTTTGTTTGAGGGGCTGGGGATTTAGTTCCATTTTTGTTTGAGACAGGGTCTCACTATATAGTCCAGGCTGGCCTCAAACTTCCATTGATCCTCCTGCCTCAGCCTCTCAAGTGCTGGGACTATAGCCATGCGCCACCATGCCTGGCTTAGATATATTTTTAATAATAAAAATTCAGAAGTGCTGAAGCCCCTATGTGTCCCTCCTGGTTCTTTTTCCCTTCTTCCCCAGGGAAACCAGCCTGTATATGTGGATGCCACCAGGCACTTTTAAGGTGTCCAGTTTTTGCTTTTCACTTCTCTAGTCTGTCTTGCTACGGCACCCTGATTCCTTGGGGGATGAGGAAGACAAAGGCAGTGCTTAGAGGGGGGGCAGGGTTTAGGCTCATCTCTTTTGGTAGCCAGTTTAGATCAGAGGAAAACCAAAGACTTACTGAGTTGGCACACAGGAATATGTAAGATGGAGAGTCAGTATTTTACTTTGGCTGTCGCTACAAGGCCACACAGACTGTCAGTGCTGCTGTCGCCTGACACTGGCATGTGTACCAGGCAACCTCGGGCTGCAGGTCAGAGCAGCAGGGCCTCACAGAGGAATGGACTTACCGTTCCCTGGAACCCACAGGAGGAGTAGGGGCTTGCTTTGCAGCAGGGATGGCCTGCCCCTCCCTCCTCTCCCAGCTGGTCTCCCTGTGAGCAGCACTGGGTCTGCAGGTCTGGAGACAGACTGAAGACAATGCCGCAATGGGGGGCTTGTCAGCCAGGGATTATCTTTTGCTGAACATCTTTCTGTCCGCAGGGGAGGGGACCCTTGTGGGCCACAGAGGCTGACAGTGTGGCAGACAATCATTCGGCCCATTGCTTAGCAGGATGGTTCAGGGGCAAGTGATCTGGAATTACACATTCATCTCTTTCCATCAGAATGGAGGTTGAACCCTGAGGGGATGCTACAAAAACACAGGGAAAACAGAACTGAGCCATGGCTCTGATGGTGGCTGAATTGACAGTCTGATGGGGTGGCTTCCTAACCCTTTGCTCAACCTGCAGCCTACTTCTCCAGCCTTCCCAGGAATTCCAGGAATGACAGACTTCTGTGAAATCTGCTTAGAACAGCCAGAATCAGCTTCTTTGTTTTGTTACCAAGAACTGGAACTGGTGAGCCATTTCCCCCACACTTTAATATTTCTGAGTGTCTCTTATTTTCAGTGCTAAGAGAAACCTGCCACCCAGACAGGAAAGCTGAAACACAGCTGTCACTACCCATGCAGGCATCACTACACAGATGCAAAAGCTCTCCCTCCTCCTCCCAGGCCTCCTTGGTTGAGTACTTTTGACACAACACATGTAGAACTTTTAAGTGAAATTTGAGTTCCTAACAGGCAATTTAATTTTCTGTAAAAATGATTTGGGCTGGAGATGTAGCTCAGTGGTAGAGCAGTTGCCTAGCGTGTGTGAAATGGGTTCCACCCAGAGCACTGCAATCCATTCCAACCCAACACTACAGTGAGATGAACAGTTTCTGGGAACAGAGCTGCCAGATACATGTTTATTATAGGTGAGGACATCACTCATCTCTAGATAAGTGCCTGTTTTCTTTTTTTACAGCAACAGTGAGAACTAAAGAGTATAAGTAAGTAGATTTGCTTGCATTTGCTTTGTCATTGACCAGGCTAAAGGACTGCTTGCCACATGTCAGGCAACGCAAGCAAAGGAGTCAAAGCGGAGTGTCTCAGAGAGTGGAGGATCATCAACGCTGGAAGAGGCTGCTCGGCTCCGTTTCCACCCATACATGCACATTGTCGTTATCAGTTCGCACTGTAATCATCTTACAGTCCGAACCTCAGTGCCCTAAATATGCTCATTGTGCACCTGTCACCATCTCATCTTTCCAACTGAAACTCTGAGGACATTAGACAAGAATCCCCCATTCCCACCTCTTCCCAGCCTCTGCGCTCACCAACCCCTTCCTGCGTCTATGAAGGCAACTACTCTGGGTGCCTCACAGAAGTGGAATCAGGTAGTATTTGTCCCTCTGGATTTATTTCACTTAGCATAAAGTCCTCAAGGGTCATCTGTGTGGGAGCATGTGCCAGAATTTCCTTCTTGTTTTTTTTTTTTTTAATTGGTACTGGGGATCAAACTCAGGACCTTGCGCTTGTGAGGCAGGCAGCAGAACCACTGAGCTAAATCCCCAGCCTAGAATTTCCTTCTTTTTTGTTTTTTTGTTTTGGTACCGGAGATTGAACTCAAGACCTTATGCTTAAAAGGGAGGCGGTGGAACCACTGAGCTAAATCCCTAGCCCAAATTTCCTTCTTTTTAAAGGCTGAAATAAGTCAGCTCAATTCTTAAATCATAAAGGACTCAGGCACCAAGTACCTAGCTACCAAAAAACCACAGCTGATCTAACATTCAATAAACATTAGTCTGCCTGCTGAAGCAAAACAGCAACTCAGAACTAGGGAGTGCTGATTCTCCAAGTATGGTCTTACATTAGTCAAATAAGGGGCTTGCTAAAATTTAGACACCCAGGCCCTCCCCAGGTCCACAGAATTTGAATCCCCAGGACTGGCCTGGCCATCTGATTTATCAGCTCCCCAGACAAGGGCAAGGGCCACCACTGCCCGGACTAAACACACACCAAGGTTTGGAAACAGACAGCTCTGTAGATGTTCTTGTTGGTTAGCAAAACAAAACAAACACATTTAAGGTAGTTTCCCTTTGTTCTAAAAAGCTACCAACTGATGGTTAGATGGTGTATTGGAGAACTGAGGAAACAGAATTTAAGGAGGCTTACTTGAAAATGGACTTAAAGGGAGGCTGAGGTTGAAGGATCCTAAATCTGAGTCCAGCTTGGGCAGCTAGCAACTTAGTGAGACTGTCTCCAAATTGAAAAAGAAAAAAATCAAAAAGGGCCGGGATAGAGTTCATTGTGAAGGCCTGGGTTTGATCCCCAGTATCAAAACAAACAAACAACCAATTTAAAAATTCAGGAAAGCTCCCCTGCTTTTGCTCATGCTGGGCGTTGGCAAAGCCTTGCTCTAGGGCAGTGACAGCAAACCTTTTAGAGTTTTCAATGATAACAAATAGCTCCCGAAGCATGCATGTCATAGGTTTGCCACCACTTCTCTAGAGTCTAGAAACTAAAAGTCTAGCCCTAATCCTATTTTTCAAAACACTTGGGCTAAATTTAACTTAACTTTAAGCCCCATTTCCTCACCTGTACATCAGACATGAGCTCTTATTATCATTGCTTCTTTTCTCCCTTCCTCTCCAGAGGAGGACTCAATTGCTCCCTCCTCTGAGCTCCCACAATCCTTGCTTGTATCTCCATAGCACAACTTC